AGGTATATAATGTATGACTTAAACCTAAACATTCTATTTTTTTTGTCGTCTGAAACTTCAGTCTATTTCAATCTCGAAATATAACATGTGAAAGATGAAAATTAAGAATGTAATGTGAAGAGTTTACTAACCTCGCTTGATAGATGATGTTAAGACGTGAGGTAATGTGAAGGATGTGTTACATTATAACTATTTCGATTCCCATCCCCATTCTTCAATTCTGTTGTATTCTCCTCTCAACAAAATGAGGGATTGAGTTTTAAGTTGAACATTGTGTTTTAAAATATTCTTTTGTTGACCAAGCTATCATTTTACAATCTCCTAAGAAACTATATCGGAATTAAAACCGACAGACGGAAATTGTTGGACATCTAACTAATTTTATATGTCGAAAATTATTTCGGAATTTTAAAGTCTATGGATGGACAAAATTCGCTGTCAGCGAGTACTCGTGAAAGTTCAATGATAGAAGAAGAATTGCAGCAGTCCTCGTCATCCGAATGGTGCACAGATTCAGAAATACGTCTTTTCAAAAAACTCCTATCTCATAAACCAGCAGGTAAGTTCTTTACGATAGATTTTCTTAAGTTTCGTAACACTGCCAAAAAGATGGTTTGCTATGATCCGTTGCTCTAGTTCTTCGCGGCAAATGCGAACAAGATATGAAACACATAGAAAAGTAAAAAATTTCGAAACTTATGAGTAATTCATACCATTTTTCAGGTATTTCGAAACATTTCCATATGGGTTGCCTTGTTGATTATATGAATAATGTTTATGAAGACGAAGATACGGATTTTGAGGATGTTTTGACATCAGAGGATTTACATGAACTTACAACCAAGAGAAATACTACAGGAAAACCACGGGTTTTTAGACCAAAATACAAAATAAGACCTACCGCAGGACTGGTTAGTATACTGTCATGTTGGATTCTCCTTGCTTTATAATGGCGATATTAATGATGGCTCTGCATACTTGAGTTGTATTGTTGATTGAATTTAATTCAAATGATGCAGCTGTTGTTCACAAAATAGCTCTTATTTTATCTTGTAATTGGATAACTAATGCAAAACTACAACATTTCAAAGAAAATTGCAAAGCTCTTAGCTGTATTTCGTAATTTTGGTTACTGTATCAGTTTGTAGCCTCTAATTAGGCAAGAGTATTTCAGTATCTGTAGTGATAGAGCGTACACATTTAATCAAAATGAACGTTGCAATATTTTAATTCTAGTTCTAGTTATAAAAATTACAGCTACACTAAATGAGTCTAACATTTTGCGAACATGAAATGCAAAGCGATGTGATTTAATCCAATACCATTTTTTCGAAATATTTTGAAATGTTTCTATTACGATGAATTAATTCCAGATTTGGAAGAAATTAGAAAATATGTATGATATGAAGCAAATAGAAAAAAATGAGGCAATACCTGAAGGTTTGTTGGAAGAATCGGAATTCTGTTTACCAGAAGATGATTTCGGTGATTTGTTACGCAAGAAAGATGAGTTGAGTAAAGGTTTCATTGCTCCTCAAACCAGTGGTAATCAATCGGTTCCGCGGAGAAAGCAGCGGGATTCGAGTATGTATTTTTATTGGCGCGTTGAATTTATTGCAACTGCTTCCCGCTGTACTGTAATTAGTAGTTGTCCGATTCTCATCGGTAATTACATGTTGAAGGATCCAATAACCTTTATAAGGAGTATGTAAAAATGATTTTAAATGAGGGCTTAGGGTGGCAACTTCAAAATTCTTGACAGTTTCAAAAATGCAATTTGGTAATATTACTATTACCAAATTTAAATATTAGTGATTTTAGCTGTTCTAGTCGCTGTTTGATAAACTGTTGTGCTTGTCGTCAATAAAAGAAGTGGGACTTATGAAGTCAAGTCATTTGATGTGCTATCCATGAAATTTCGCAACCGAAAATGCAGTTTCAAAAACTTATTTGACAGATTTATCGGTATCAAACTCTCGTGATATTTATATTTATAGCTTTTTATTCGATATTCTTATAATAAAATCCCAAATATTTTTCTCTTATTGCTTGACATAGTAATTTCCGGTACTACTGATAGTTGAACACTGGTAAAGATATTCGTTGAGGTAAATTCTGCTGATCGAAGTAGAAGTCTGTGATAGAAGCCTGATGATAAATATAACTATCCGTAGTGCTCGCGAGCACTATATATTTGCCCTGGACTCAAAGGTCAAGGAGAACTAAGAAAGCTAAGTAATCGGAGATGAACAAAACAATTTTTGTAACGCAGGTTTCGACAATACAAAAACACTTTATTTCAACATATTTACATTATAAAATTATTTCGGTTTTGTGTTTTAGTTTCAAGTGCGCCATAGGCGTTTTTCTTATCCACACTTTTTTTTCATGAAGATTTTCGACGTCAACTTGTTGGACATGTTTCTCGAGAAAAGAAGAGAAACTTATATATTTTAAATTTATATATGTTCTTGTGCATGTATTTTCATTTTGAGATATTTTTTATACTCTTGAATTTTATGCACTTCCTGAGGATCTCATTTCTTTATTTGGTCGATAAAGTTTCTTGATATTTTAGTCTTCATGCATGTAATGAAAATATTGCCGACATATAAATGGACGGCGTATATATGTAATCAGAATATGTTCCAGAAGTTTTAAACGAATTTAAAATTCCTTATTGCACTTTAGCCATCCGTTATATGGAAGCTAACTGTATTCAGTAAAGCAGATACGTTAACAGTTCAGAAAGCTACTGAATTGTTGATGATTGATAGTCTGCAGGAATTCATATAGTAAATCCATCCATTGGGGCTATCCGTTTGTGTCACTGCTTTTTATGTTTTTGCCGCAGTCGATCACTGACTAGTCTTATGGCTTATCCATGTTTCCCTATGTAGATTATTGTCACCGAAACGATTGCTGTTGAACGAACGATCAAAAATTAATAAATACAAATTTTGAGTTTTATTTTGCGAATTTCCGAACAATATTCAAGGAAAATAAACTACCTAATTCAAGTTTTGAAACAATTAATAAAAATAGCAAAGACCTGGAAATGGATTGAAGATCTCTTTTCAAATTTTACTTGAATGAAATAAGAGCTGTAGTTCATTACCGAATCTTCATTTGCAATTTGTAATCATTTACTGGTCAGTCGTTTCTGCATTCCTCTGCCGAAATTCCTCATAGGGAAGTTATGTACCTAATTTTTTTCATATTAAAAAAATGCTTTGGCTTCAATTACCTTAGAAGGTATATCAAAAAGATATTAGGGATGTAATGTAACTATCATACCTTCAACTATTTCAATATGATCGTAAAATGCCGTGTGTTTCAAGACCTTCACTTTTTGTTAGAAGCAGTAAAGGGACTTCTTTTTTAAAAAACAAATTATCCTTTGATCTACATAAGTTTGTTTACGTATATAATATAAATTTTACAAATTAATTAGTTTCATAAAATTTTGGAAAAAAATTTTTTGCAGAAAAATTTTTGCAGAAAAGTTATGTCAATGTTGGATGCGAGAGTTTATTTTTATTTCTAGAATTTTGCTTCCGAAAATTTGAAGCATTCGAGAAAAGTTGAATCCAAAGTTAATATTTTGAGATTTCATTAAAAAACTTGAAATTATTGTCGTACAAAAAATAGAGAAAGTCTTCGAAAAAGCTTAAATGAAGCTGTTTACAGTATTAGTCAAAAAATTACCTGTGATCCGAAAAATTTCAGAAAAAGCTGGCACTAACGGCACAAGTTTGTGACTTCCTTTTCAAAGCAGCAACATTTAATTCTGAGAATTTTTTCTGCATATTAAATTTTCTGATGATTATTTGTCGAAATCATTTTAAAATGCAGATGAAATGTGAGCATATGTGGCCAACACCAGCGGATATGGTATTATTAAAGGGTAAACCGCATTCGGAATGGGTACAACCTGAGCCTTTATCAGTTCAGCAGATAGATTTCTACCTAGGCCGTATTCCAGAATGGTATATTGAACAAAAATTCCTGAAAAAACCTGGTATTTATTCTCGAAGAATTCTCGAATTTTATTTATTTAGTTTTATTCATTGTATTATCAAATTATGCAAATATAATAGCTTCTTTAAATTGCGTAAAATTTTCTATCCAAAGAGAATTTTTATGAGAAGAATTTTCATTCTTAAATCATTATAATCTTAAATCATTAATTAAACTAATTCAATTGAAGTCATATCAGCAACAAAAAAGAAAAAAACGGTTCTGATATGCTTTTTAAATTCGAAATTTTCTGATAAACCACTTAATTTCAAAACTTCGATGTTGCCAAAGCCTTTTTTGCTGACAGCTATTGATTGATAATCATTAACTCAATAATTATTCATTTACCACGCAAATATAATTAACTAAATGAAAGGCAAAAATCGCGACAAGTTTTTAGGAGATTATCTGCTGGCTCGTGGTCATAATAATAAATTACGTCTGTCAATAAAATCACATGAACCAGGCAATCCTGCAGTACATTTGCCTATTGAATTTTGTCAAACAAAGCAGGTCAGTAATTATTGTATTGAGTTCTTTAATTCGTAGAAATATGCATTGAAATTCGGATTTTAAAATTTTAAGTTTGCGTATGGCATGCTTATGCAAAATGATAAGTATTATATTAAACTAATGAAATACTGAAGAAATGAAATAGTTTAATTTCGTTTTAATAAATGTGGTGCTGAAGTATATTTTCCAATGTTTCAGTTTTTCAGTCGATTTTTTTTACAGATAAGAGGTGATAGGAATTATTATTATCGAATTGAAAAAACCGTTTGGCAGAATCGATCAGTTTGGGGATTAATTCAATCGTATCAAAAGAGTAGTGTAAGTAATACTTCATGATCTGTTCATGCCGATTTTTCATTATTCCCACTTTTTATCCTATCTTTTCGTGTGTAAAATGTAAAGTTTTGCAAAATTTGATAAGTGCATCTTTGATCAGTCAAAAACCTCAAGCAGATCGGATCAATCGAATTTTCTGTTTAGGTGGACAGTTTGAGAATAAATACAAAACGTGACGTACGTCTAATAGAACCAGTATTACCATGTCAGGGATGTCGTTATCTGACAACTGAATACTCATTTCTACATATGCAAATTAAAGAGAAATCAGAAATCAATATTGGTGATTTAGTTTGCAAAGGCGAAAAGTCAACAGTAAGCTTCCTTCTATTTCTAAGCACTTATTCCTCAATTCATTTCAATGTGTGGTTATCGATTACTCCAAATTCGACCGTTTGAATTTCAGATTTACAAAGCAACTCGTTACTTGACCAAAAACGGTTTGATTAAAACGGTAACAGAACGATCAATCATTTTGAAGGAAATGGATGACTGTACTGCCACAGTGCTCGACGATATATTCAGGGTAAAATTACCACTAAACTTTTTCATGAAACGACCAATAGAGGTAAATTGGTTAGTGGACGCCCTTTATTAAAACAGATGAAAAAAATGAGATTGCTTATTATTGCGGAACAAATCTCTTTTGCCAATTAACAATTGAGTCAGATATTAATGACTTTGCACTTAAATTCTTAACGTATTGACTTTGTTGGAAATTCTCGTGTGATTTCTCACATACTTACAAAAAATCCATTCAGCGTAATTACGTAAAGCTGAATCATAGCATAATCATTCCATCACCCTACCGGATTAAAGGCATAGCCATACACATAAGTTCTCTAAGGATTCTACTCATTGTAAACCGTTAAATTATCCTACCATATATCTATTGATGAAGTCAGAATTCGGTTGCAGGCAAAAAAATGGAAAACTGATTAAACAAATCTCTGCTCTTTCAGGAAATGCATATAATAAGTACAATTCGACATCAAATCGGTCCTCAAACGGTAGTGAATGTTGAAGCAATTATGGTTTTTGGTCGGCCATACTATATCGCTTATGCGTTATGCAAGAAAGGCTCATTAGTAGAATATCTTGAAAAAAATACCGTTAGTATGGATGCTCGAATAAAGGTCAATTTTGAATCTTTTTTCCCAATTTGAAAAGCTTGCAAATTTTTGAAATTATTCATGCAGAAAATAATTGTGCAAGTGAAGAGCGATGATGATATTTGGTCCAGAGGCCTCATTTGGAAAGCAATACTAATCAATTAGGATTAGAACCTACAGCATTTTTTTCCGAAATTCAATTCTTCCAATTCTTTTATATGAAGGAGATATTGAAAAATGTAGCATATACCCTGCATCACTGTCATAAGATTTCCGTCATTCATGGAAATTTGAGAGCTGAAAATATATTCGTTGATAACGATGATAAAACAGCCAAACCGATTTACTACGTTGGAGGTTTTCATCATGCAGTTATCGCCAAGTTAGTTTTTATACTTATTTTTTCTTGTGAAAATAGAATATTCTTTCAAAATTTTGATATTAAACTGCTATCTAAAAGGTAATAACATTTAGCAATTGCCAAAGTGGTGTAAAATGGATTTACTTCTTTTGAATTTTTTTAACCTAAAGTATGTATAAGAGGTTAATTTCAATGAGCAACAGGAAGTTTAAATGGGTCAAATTAATTCAGATCGAAAAAAGTCAATCCGAATGAATTACCAAATAAACGTTGGCTTGCACCAGAAGTTCTAACAACGAAACTATTGACACCAGAATCAGATATATTTGCATTTGCATTTTTGATGTATGAAGTTCTTACAATGAAAGTTCCACATGAGATAATCGAAGACAAAAATGTACTCGATTATATTAGCAAAAATCCACATGCTCGCCCAAGTGAGTCCATTTTTCAAATTCCATTATTTAACACTTACTGCTCTCCATCCTTTCGTTTCACAGAGAAGAAAAAACCGGAATAACTGCACGAGTTATTTCTTCCCATATATTTTCAGCAGTACCATCAACAGTTCCAAATTGGCTAAAAGAATTGGTAAATGAGTGTTGGAGCACAAGCCCAGAGAAAAGACCTAAAATGTCAAATATATGGCAAAAATTAAAGGACAACAAATGATATCAAATCATTTAAATTAATTCCCATTGTTGTTCTTGATTACAATACCTATCTGCTACTACCAATAAAATAACCATCCAACTTATACTTAAGAAATGATATTCGGAGCGAAAGTTTCCTGATGGAATTGATCTCAGGAGGAGGCAAACATTACGAACTATTTCCCATTTACCATCGTTATCTATGGACAGTTTATTGCGATGATTATGTTGTCGAAAAATTAAAGTGTAGCCTAAGATCATATTATATATCGTCATAGATTCTTTTTTCTTCCTGGCTTTTTTCTTCGAATCCGGCTAATATCACTTGACATGTATGAAAGTTATTTTTAAATATCATTTGACATGTTTTTTTCGTTTCGAACCCCGGCTAATATCACTCGACATAAACGAAAACAAAAGAGAGAAACGTGGCACTGGGAGATGGGACTAACCATTTCAAACGTGTTCGTTGTTTACGTATGGAAGATAAATTGCATATGCGTAGCATAAATTTGTAAAGGTAAAAGTCGCTGAGGGGCGAGGAAGGAACGAAGAATGGTTTCTGCATCTCACGTATACGTTTGATGTCAGATGATACGGCTAATTTGACACCAGATGACACGATATGTAATTTTATTAATACAGGCTGCTGTTATGTAACAAATTACTGTGTAAAGATATACTTTGTCAATGTGAAGAAACATTTCGCGCAAGTAATGAGCACATTACATATATGTGGCGTCATGTATGATAGTCATTTTATGTTGTGCGTATATGTTGTGACGTGCGTACCATATTTGCTTTTTTTCTAGATGATTAATTCACAATTTGATGGGAATGTATCCATAAATACAGTGGAAAGTTTACGCTCTACACAAGAAATTGATAGTACACTGAACACAACGCAGTATTGCTTTCTGCATGACGATTTTTTTCTGGTGAAAGGTTTCCAGAATTTTAATTTATTTGTAGGACCTTTAATTGGTAACTTAGAAGTAAAACAAATGTTTTCCTTTCGTTTAGGAAAAGGTTTGCAAGTCATGTGAAATATATGGAAAATTAGCGTTATATTACTGTAAGATTAATAAAGCGTTTTGCTACGTTTAGAGTATTTCTTTTAGAAACTTTTCATTATTATAAAAATGTCATTATTTGATCGAAGAAAATTATATTCATTGATAGCTTTCGAAATTTTCCACATCTCCTCTGCGCATTTCAAGGGTTATTTTCAGTTACCCAGGCATTGTTCGAAGATTTCCAAGCGAAATGTATGGAAAATGTTAATGAGTCTTCCAATTTAGTTGCTTTATTTTATGAGGTACAAGAATTTAATTTTAATTTATTCTAGGATAAGTGTAATTAATAATTTCTATCAACATCATCAGTGATTGCTGTTTTTTCTTATTCTCACTTTTATGAAGTCAAATAATAAAATACAGTGTTTATGATATGCTTTAAAACTCAAGCTAGTATTTATTTAGTATGGCTTCAGATATGTAGTGATGGAATAGCGGCTTTCCAAAAAGTATCTATGAGACCGGAGAGAACGACGGCTTTAATGTCCGTTTTACAACAGCTTTTAAACGAGCAACAAGCGTATCTTTTATTATTAAATCTTGCTAAGATGAATCGAATGTTAGATGATTTGAAGGTTAAATCAGAAACTTCTGCTTTTAATTTACATTCTAAATGATTTTATAAAGCACATTATTATACAATCACGAATGAAAGAACTAAGCAGTTGTTAATTTTAAAAAGTAAATTTACCATCTTAAACAAAGAAAAACAACTGCTTGGTCATGTTTCAAAGTAGATTTTTTTAGACTCATGCAATTGATTATCTTTTTAATGTTATGGTTTTTTCGGTTTCATGCCGAATTAGCAGAAATTATTTAACCGTCTGATGCAATGCTTTTTTCTTGCCTTTACAGTTCTTTTGCAGAATTTGGAGAAGCGATCTGTTTTTGCTGATTTATTAATCAGTGATGTGGAATTCAGAAAACTACTGGTGACTTCTTGAAAGATTGTTTCAAAGAAAGTAATTTCAGGGAATAATCTATTTGAAAGGAGCAGGAGAAAAAGGCAGTACCTAAATTATTTGTAATTTTCGCCGATATTGATTACTCCTACCTGTAAATTTTATTAAGGTACTTTTGGAATGGTGTGAAGCGAATGCCTATAGTGAACCTGAGGCAAATGCCGAATTGTCGAACGAATGTGCATACCTCGAAAAGAATTGCATGCTGCGGTGAAGTTTTGTCGTTTGTTGTAGTATTATTGTGCACTGAATTTTTAACCTCTACCTTTACACAAATTGATAACGGCAAGTAAGCAACATAATGGTATCGAAGTTTATGTACCCAGTAATTGATTAAATAGATTTCTATATCAGTTGAAATCAAGAATTCAAAGCAAATGATATCCTTTGCTGGATTATTTGGATGGAACAAAATGTAATTTTTTGCATAAAAGTGAAGACATAAGTAAAGGATTTTTTCCTTCTTTATTCATCCTTGTTTTAATTAAGTATTCCTATTTATAGTGCAGAAACATTGCATGCTCGAATTCGTGGTGAAAACCTGTGTGATCTGGTAATTATTTCTTCTAGTTTTGTATTTTAAAAGAAGAGTTTTTCTATGTTAATGAGGAGTACCGTTTACGAAAGAATAATATAATTGAAGTGTTTGGTCTTATTTGACTTTCTATTGCTTTGTTTTCGTTTAAGGATATTTAGGACTTTTTTCCTACAGTGCAGGTAGTAGTCAATACCATCTATAGGAAAACGACATCCAATAAGAGAAGTAACATCTGTTAATCGGTCTTACGGGATCTGCTTATTTTTAAGCAGAAATGAAATTAATTTAGGATCAATTATTACTGTCAACTATTCTCTAAATTGCAGGATTTAGACGGCGCACTTCATGGACGTTTACACAATAAAGATGAAGAATTAGAAAGCAGAGTTTTCAGCTTGATTTACACACTGGTGCGATGTGGTCAAATTGATGAGGTATTTCTTGATTTAGTTTCCAATCTCTTCGCAAACTGATAGAGGAATAAGCTAATCATTTATGCAATCATTTAATTCCGATGTTTTAGGCATCTTCGTTATTGGAAAAAGCTGGCCTTCATTCTTTAATACCTCTGTTACAACTGAGAAAAATGTCACGCAGTGCTGCTTTAACACCAATTTCTTCAGATGAAACCTCCTATTATCTGGCTCGATCTCGTGCCTTTCTTAAGCGCACTATTGATAAGATCGTTTCTAAAGTGAGTTTTGACGTTTTTAAAAATTAATTTAAAAGAATTAGTTGTAAAAGGGAATCCGTCCAGGTCAGTTAGGTTCCCGGCAAGTGAGAGACCTTCATTCAAGTTAAGTAGTTTTCTAGCAGTGTTTACTAAACGAAATTTTTTTTTGGTAACAGCTGCAAATCTTCCCTGCTTTCTCTTCACATTTTATTATGATTTATGACACTGTATATTTACTTACCAATTTATTTGTGACAATCCAAGTTTTCTTTTATAAGCATTGCTTTTTTACGCAATAAGTTTGATATTTCTGTAATATACGGGCTCTTTAGGGCACATCATTGTCGCAAGTAGAATCCTGTCTATGGTCAGTGGTAGCTGGACGTCTCGAACCGGCATTATCTTTGTCTTCTCGCACTGAAGATCGTCTTTGGTGTTATCTCAATGCAGCTGTTGAATCTCGTTTGGATGCCGCAATCATGAGCGCTCATAGCGGCGATTGTGATGTTGGTATTGGTCGTGAGGTAGAAAACAACGACCTTCGAATTAATTCGATCTTCGATGAAATTGCTACGGTTTGTTGTCAGTGTCCCAGTGTCCCAGAAATACTTTCTGAGATATTTAATGAGATATTATTTAAGTCCGAAGAGGTTTCATCCTCTTTATAATCGGAAACAGTGGTTTTGTTTCAATTTTAATTCGAAATTCAGTTTCAAATAAGCACAAATTATCAAAATCTGTTAAAAAAGAAAAGTTGAAAATCGAACATTTCCGTAAAATGGAGATATTTGGCTAATTCGGAAACTCTTAAGAGCATGCTGTATACAGCTGTAAAACTATCACTTTAATTCATTTTTTCCTATTTTCCTAGTTGAAACTAGTAGGTTTTGCTTAAATTTGAACCGTAAAAGTCATGAAAAGAATGCACTTAAAGTAAATATCTACTTTTTTATTTGTTTTAAGCTGTTCTTATTTTTAGGTTGAACGATCTCCCTACTATACTATTTATCGACACATAGTAAACGATGATTCTTTATCACTGGTTGCATCCATGGATATGTGGCTGGAGCAGCATGAGGATGATTTAGAAAGATTTCCACATATCATGCGTTTTATGGCTCATCTTGTTTTACTTCTTCGATTCACTGGTCAACCGATCCAGGTGGGAGCATTTTTCTCTGATCAGGCACTTTTGTGCTCTAGTTTCTAGCACGGCAGTTATTTGTCATGTAAATACGGCAAGAATTTTTTCAGGATTGTATTCAGAAAATGTTGTCATTTACTGTTCAGGAAAAAGTAAGGTGGCCGGACTCACAAAAAATCTGTTAAAAAAGAAAGGTTGAAAGTGACATTTCTATAAAGTGGAAATGTTTAGCTAATTCGAAAACACTACGTGCACAGTCTATACTACCAGCTTCAGATTGTTCTATTTCTCTTATTCTATTCCTTAAAAAATTTCAAACACATTTTATCATTAGCTCTATGTATTTGGGCACATTGATTTTCGCCATTATGATTGTGAGGCAAATAACTAAAAACATTTATTCCGATTTTAGGAAGAAAGCGCTAATTCAATCATTCGGTGTTATGTTCGTTTGTTGATCTCGTTAAAGTTATACCCTATTGTGCCATATTATGCAAACGAATTACCATTAGAAATGGCTGAAGAGATAGTTGTTGAGTTCATGTGCCGTAAGTTTCTTTATATTCACTGTTCACTTTTATCATAGCTCATAACATTCTTGCTTCATTCAATTTTATTATATCTTTTGTTAACAATGTGAAGCTTTGTTTATTTCTGCTTGGTAAAGAATTATACACTTTCGATCATTAACGGAACTCATACGGCATGTTACTTATTGTATTGTTCAGAATTAGAAGATGAAAACATGCGGAAAGATGTCCTTGACGCTGCTTGTGCTGCAAAAATGGATGGAGTTCGTTTGTGTAAACAAATCTTTAATAGTATAATTACTCGATATCCAGTTGTTGAAGAAGTAATCGGTTTTGACTTTTTTCTTTTTTGAATCATGTTTGATATTATTCACATATATGAATTTTGGACTAAACCACTTTTTTATATCGTCATCGTTTTTTTTAGTTCAAGATTATTACATTCTTTACTCTTTGAATTATGCAGGAATCTGGGAGAGATGATGTGTTAATTAATGCGTGGAACTGGCTAATATATCCGGGTAGTGATACGTATTATGATGCTCTATTAGGCATAAATAAAATAATGCGCGAATTTTTTTGTAAGTTTCATTCTATTTATTGTTCTGTATAGTATTCTGTTCATTTCATATCGTGCGTTTCGATTGTAAGAAAGTCTTTTTGCCATTAGCAATGGATAAAGTATAACATAGAGGGGCCATTTCTAGGGAAGTACTGCTATTATGAATTGCGAAATAAATCTTCTGGAATTTCACTAAGTTTTTCAGATGTTAACAAGATGGATAAAGCAAATAAACTTCTGCAACGGTCAAAAAAATTGATTGATAAAATACTAGAATCATTTTCCTGCGTTATTGAGACTAATGATACAGTTGAACCGAAGCTTTTAAGAGCTACTACTGAATACAGAGCGTATGAATGCTACTTGGTTAGTTTTAGATTTTATTCATTGAGTCATTATTTTAAAAAAATCACCTCCATAATGAAACTTTTTTCACCAGCGTCATATTTTGTATATATAATTTCCATGTTTTCTTTTTCTAAACTTCCTGATACTTTAACACATGGTTGTCGTATTTTAGAATGCTTTGATGAAATTTAACGAATGGTTCAAACATTCACAACGTTCATTGCCAGCGATTTTGGAGAATTCAGTGGATGACGCTGGAACATTAATGGATATGCAACAAAGGATAACGTTGGAAGTGATACATCAGCAGGCAAATGAACAAATGCAGAAATATGAAAATGCCTCAAAACAGAGCACCATTGTTGGCCTTTTAATTTAATAATTTTACAGATGATTACCTTAACAGTTCCAGCAATTAACAAATTTATTACTTATGAGACTAAGCTTTGGCTTCATGAACGCATTCTTGCATGTCTTGAGCAACTGCACAATAGAAGGTTTAGCATACATTATTTAGGCGGCGGTGGAAGCGCTCGACCTTGTTCTACGCTTTCCAGACGGTTGGATGACATTCAAGGAAGCGGAGAGAGAAACACTAAATGAGGTAACAGTAATTTCATTCTTATCTATAAATAAGAGTTCATATCAAGTTTATGTCTAAGAAATTCTGTAACAGTTTGATGCTAGAATCACTAATAAGAATTTAAAATGTCGTTGTAAATATTAGATACTAAATACTAAATATTAAAATTAGATACTAAATTAGACACTAAATACTATCGTTCAGGAAGAAGTCAAGAAACTCACTGAAATAAGATCTCATTATGTCACTGCAGTTGTTGTTATGCTAGTTACTTTATTTGAAAAAAGCGATATAAATGGATCTGCACATTTGGTAGAATTACTAGCTGATGAGGACTACATGTTGGCAGAAGTAAGTTTCCTTCCCG